TGTGTGTGTGTGTGTGTAATAGGACACATAATGACATTCATTTTCTTCCTGGTTGAGTGTGACTCAAGAGATGACTTCATCTGCTCCACTGACACTCTGACATTTTACCTTATAAGGAGGAAAGACGGAGTGTTTTTTGTCCGGGTGGGCGGATTAAATGGTTAAAAGAATTAAATATTACATTACACTAAACTGAGCTGCTGTTCTGCTGTTGTCAGAGGTATATCTTTGACATTCTTTGAATCCTCACACGTCGAAAGCTACCTTATTAAGAGGTTTACTCATGAAGAGGCTGTCAGTGTTCCACCTTACGGTTGATTGCAGCACTGATCTGAACTGCTGAATGGTCACTCTCTAATATGATGACATTCTCTAATATGATGACAAAAACAGAGAAAATGTTATTCTTTTCTATTAAGACAGTTACATATAGAGTTTCTATTTCTGACAATACTTATTTATTGTTAGATAAGTGTTTATTGAGCTCCTCCAGTAAGTGGAGGCTGGTGTATAAACACCTCATGAAAAACAATATAGTAAAACACATTATAATAATATAAATTATATTATTATAATGTATGTCAATAGGAGAAGTGTGTTGAAAAATACATTACAACACAATACATCACTTTAAAATGTCATTATATCATCATACAGTGACATTATGATCTGTATGTATAAACCATTTATTAAAGGTCCAGTGTGTAACATTGAGGAGGATCTATTCGCAGAATTACCCTCTTCCTTTTTAAAACTAGTGTGAAACATTTCAGTCCTGATAAGAAGAAAAAGACAGACGAAAACACTGAGCAGTGAACACTTAATATACTTATTACATATAGATAAGAATATATTTAGATTTGAATAATCTCGACTTGTATAGCTCTTTTCATAAAACAAATTGCAAATATAGGCAACAAAATAAGGTATGCTAATAAATGAATCATCATACTGAAAGATCCAGATCCAAGATACAGCTGCATCATAATAGTAAACAACAGTAAAGAGATGTTGCACTTTGCAATGAAATAGAGTTAATGTTAGAGTTAGATTACCTTTAAGTCATAAAAGTAGACTTTAATAAATTTTTAACCGAGAATTGGATACAAAACAGGACAAGATCATGTTTGCATTTTACTTTGGAATATGGAAAAAATGAACTTGAACTTAAAATGTAATGCTTTACCTTGTGGGGATCTGTTGTGTGGCAGTTTGTGAACAGACTTTGTGAAGACCTTTGTTGAAATGATCTCCCCCCAGCCTCTTAACCTCAAAGCTTAAAACCTCCATCCTAACCCTCACAGAGCCCCTTTCAAACAGTAATTACTGAACCAAAAAAAGTCTCCACTGTTAGGGTCCAAAATGGGACTCACAAAGATGAGAACACACATACACACTGTCAGACAGATGGGTAACAAAAAATGCCATGTGGTCAACATTGCGTGTGTGATGTGTTTGACCTCCACTCAGTTTCAACACAGAGCTGCCAGTCAGCCTCATAACCTCATGATCAGCCCCGCTCAACAGATGCTGAAAAACTGACAACACTGCTCTGCTGATTGTCTGATAACTCGGTTGTGAAACGTGTCACCAGGGCCTGGTGTGCTGATGAAATAATTTCTAGAGTTCCAAAGTAGCGCTGGAGCTCTACATAAACATGCTGAATCATGCAGAGTGGCAGAATGGAGGCTTTGTTCCATCCAAAAAAAGAAAAGCCCTTTATTTGCTGAGTAACTGCATGCGGTCAAGCAGCTTTCAATTAAAGTGCTGCTGGGCAGAGTCACGTTCAACACTGCAAAAACAGGTTCAGCTCAAATTAGCCTGCATCAGATGACTGCGTGTCACAGTTTGAACTTTTGTCGCGGTACTGTTTGTTCTTGCTCCACAATGAGTGATCGTCTTTGCCCAGTTTTGTGGCACAGTCTGAGCTGGAAATCCCCCTGTTGCTGAGCTGAAAGTCTGAGCTGCTGGTGTTTTTGAGCGCTGTCTGGCTGCATGAGGCTGCGCACGTCTGAACCACTGACCCACATTGCATAAGTGAAAATATATAATGGACAGGAACAGGTAGTTCTTCTTTGTCAGAGAGTCTGGGAAAACATGTTACGCTGCAGAGTTAAGTTGAAATTCTGCTGAAATTCTGGAAAACTATTTGTTGATCATTGATCCTTTTTCGAGCTGTTCTCAAGAAACAGAATTTGTTTTCTCTCTGACTTTTATTGCAATGTTTGTAGCTAAAGAGAGGAAAGCAGATTCTGATAATAAATATGGTGGTAAATGTGTTATTGAACCACACATTTGTGTTAGTAACTGCACTCTCAGCCCAGGTTTTAGAGGTCATAGTTTCAGGTTTTTTTATATTTTTGGTATTTTTTTTAAACATTTTGTTATTTTTTCCATAAAGTTTCATTTCAAAGGCAGTTTTAAAGCCCTCAGCACATTGCCAGGAATATTATTATGTAGGATGTAACCGTTGTTTGTTGGTTAGAAATGAACATGGCACCACACCAGGACCTCTTTTTGAGTTTATCTCAGTTTACTCTGAAAAGGACAAAAAAACAAACAAAGCAGAACCTGTATATGAATAATAAATCTGCCCACTCCAGCTCCTACACACACGAACTAAATACACAGAGATAAAGTTTTAAGAATCAGTCCTAACTTTAACTAACATTCCAGTACGCTGAAGCCTGTATACTGACAGCTGAAGACAGGCAGATTGTAATATTGCTGGGGACAATAAGTGGTACACCCACCACTCCCACAGGAGAATCATAAAAAAAGGAGAGG